TTATGAAAGCAGTAAAGTTAACAGAAGGTAAAATGCAATGACTATGAATCGATTGATATTAGAAAAATATAAAAAAATTGGACAAAAGAAATATAGAAAATCTAACAGTTCTGAAATATCTTAATTCATATGCCTTGGGAATCGTGTCGCTAAGAAAGACACGAATTGGTAAACCGCAATTTAATGTTACCTACAAAGCCAAATGGCGCATTACTTCCGCAAGACCGGATTTCACTGCATAATGCATCGCCTCTTTACTCCCAGTTGACCTTAAAGGGAAGGTGGCATTTAAGAAAACCATGCTTCACAATAATTGAGGACTTTAAGTGCCAGATACATCTTGCATCATTTTATAGGCTAGAGCCACTTCATGATCATCATGAAGGGTGTACAAGCAGCTGACATCGTACAAACATGCAACCATGGCTCTAACGGAGTAATGCGCCATTTAACATATAGAATAAAAAAATGTTTTGATGCATATTTACAAAGCTGATATATTAAACAATGATCTGTCCGCTTTCAGCGCAAACTGCTACCGCTATTTCTCTGAATGTGAGTCGGTTATTTTAGAAGTAAAGCATATATGCTTTTGTACCTGTCTAATTAACCAGCAGCGATATTGTTGTTTCCTGTATTAAAAAGTTGTAACTCATAAACAACACTTCCGCTAGTCAACTGTTGCATCATTACAGCGTTCACTTAGCAGAAAAGCAGCATAAAAACGACCCATTTTAGCAGCAACGCAAAACGTGATTAGTCAGAAGATTGACTGTTCAAACGTTTCGGTCCGTGTCTGAAGGGCTTTCTTTAAGATTAATATGCAGATAGAATTCAGAGGTCGTCTGCAGCCGATCGCAATTTCAGAGCCGTGATTCATCTGGCAAGCTAAACGTTGTTGTACTGACAGATAATGATCTAAATTCGGACTATTAATCAACCAATAATGGAAGGGAACAACAACAGCAAGTTATCATAATTCGTTATAAAGTCATCAGTGACCTTTTCATACAGAAACCATGCTGAACGAACATGGATTAACGGAAGCTTCAGAGATTATACGATTTTTTTGACTTTTTATAGCATCGTTTTAAGGTACAAAAATTAATCCGAAATGTAAGGCGCAACTTTAGAAACGGAGATTGAGTGTTTTATGCGAAAAATTCGAAAATCTTTTATGGATTACAATGATGCATATCGAATTTACTACATGCATGCATATTTTCCAACTTAATGGATGATGTTCAATGCGTCTTCACGGCGAAACACAAAATGAACGTTAAGTCATTGGTAACAATCACGATAACAGTATTCTATACGAGGTGTCATCCCGTAAAGGATGTATGCCATGAAATGGAGTACCGTAGTAAAAATATATTGTTTGTTTACTTTAATATGCAACAAATAAAAACAGCCCAAGTAAAACTTTTGAATCTAGCCCAACTCTGAACTACTACTCTCCAACGCTTGTAACCCGTCTTCAAAGGCATACATCTGACGCCTAAATTCATAGGCGATGATCGAGATCGCAGTAACCGAATTGAGGCTGTTCACGCCATTCATCAAAGGTATGTGGACGCGCTTTCCGCCATGCTTGTGAGCAAAGCCATAAGACGCCTTGCTCAAACCAACGCTTTCGTTTCCGACGACAAGAACGGTCGTAGGTCGAGGGAAAAACTGCTCCTCGTGGTACTTTACAACTGGAAGGCGAATAAGTTTGTAGTTTACTTCTATCGCCTGCGAATCGGTAGTCGAAGTCGAGTCCTCTTCCTCATCTGTGGTGCTCATTTTCGGCGGCTCCTTGATCTGTTCAACCACTTTAGCAACTTCGTACGAAGAACTGTCGGCGAGATAAAGCTAGGAAAACCAACCTTAGCTCATTCCGTACAAGTACAACATTGAATACCGTGAATTCGTTTGGCAAATGCTGCTCCATGTCATCCCATAGAATGTCGTCATAAATTGGCACGCGAAAGTGACCACCCATACCACCGCGCAGCACTTTCGATTCCCAGGCGTCACAACACCCTAAACAATATGATCTTACATAGTTATGAATAATAAATCGAATACTAAACTCTAATAATACTAAATAATTGCATGGCCCAAAATTAATTTAGAAAACTTCATGTCTGAACTAACTTCATACGGTTGTCATCCTAGACATCACGGTATTCACACCGATAAATAAAATATTCTTTAAAAATTTGGACATTTCCTTTACCAAAGATATATATAGTTTAGATTTATCAAACTACAGATAAGCATATATCGCAAAACATTCATTCTGCAACGTATACATCTTTGTCCATATCAACCGCTTATAAACAGACTCTATTCGTATCGCCCACTCGAGAATAAAATTCACTGATTCGTCGCAGTAGGAAGGAGTTGTTCTTTGACGGAGGCGGAACAACTTCCGTACTCTACGAGGTATACTGCTGTCGCTCCTGCTCTTTAACTTTTATGCAAGTGCGCTACGTACCGGCAGTCCTATCTGCTGCGCCTAGGAATTCGACAGAAACTGAATTCGAAAGCCTGCAGAATGCAGTAACAGACACAGAGTAATGGTTTAGGAATAAACCGTCAGCAAAGCGCTAAAATCATCTGCCCGATGAACTACATCATATCATCCAATTAACTCCACAACATCGAACATCGTATCAACTTATAAAGTTGGCCAATCCATGCCTGCGACAAGACAAAATATCTGGGCATTATAGAAAAAAACTGGACTGACTGACCACATGATTTCAGTGCTGGTAGGGGCTACTCGAGCTTATTACCAAATATTGAGGCTAATCAGGCTGCCTGTATCACTGAAGCAGTACTCCTCTTCGTTTTCGAACGCACCCGCTGATCACTCACTTCAGCTGGGTAATATTTTCAGATTTAATGATAAAGAATCGCGCTACTGCGTCGAGCAGGTATAAAGTTAATTAATAGCTAGAATTAGCAGAATCTGTGCTGAAGAAA